AAGGATATATCTTTTTCTTTTGGATAGGGCAATGACGGGACAAATAGTACTGTTCTGAATGTTTATATACCTGTTGAATAATTCGCAAATTAACATCCCACTAATGTGATGCAAATACTTAGCTTATTTTGTTCGTTATTCATAATCGCCGATGTATAGTTTTCGAATAATAAAGTGGTTGATTCACACGTTTTAAGGTGTCATATCTACATGTTTTTGTGACCTAATTTCATGTTTTTCGCTGATCTGTCATATAAATATGAGTCACCCGATTTTAGCTATATGCACTATGTACATGCGAAGCAATTTTTTGTACATCTAGTTTAAAAGATTCAATTTATCATTACACATTACGCATATGAGGAATTAATTATCTAGTTAATAATATAATAGTGGAGCTAGTATCTGTGACACATATAAATTTTGATCCTGCCTTCTCAGTTTATGGCTTTGAAGCCAGATGTATGAAGTCAGCAGATAATTGTTAACAGGTGGGATAGCTACTTTTCTTTTATTTAATTTTTACGTAATACGTTGCAGGTTATAATTGTTCGCGACATGTATTCGAGATAACGTGAATGCAGAGCCGAAGCACTATTTATTCCTAAATAGGTCCCTATTGCATCTGTTGTCATAGACAACAAGCCCCGCTCTAAATTAAGTAACAAACAAAATCATGTGATACATATGAAGAATTGGTAATTATCGGCGATATACACACAAATGATTTTATAGGTGAACAATCGCCCGATACGCAACATTCATATTTTGTGATCGCTAGCAATTAATTACTTATATTTAATATGAAATGTGAAGAACCAATGCCACGGATAGCTAATACAAATGAAGATCCACAAACCTACAGATGTTTTTATTAGCACCTTGTACTTGCTTCGCTAATCGGTTTAATCGTCATATATATGTCAAACACTAACGGAGCTATGATCACCAAAATTTTATTACCTCGATTTAGTATGAAATTTAAAGAACTAATGTTATATATCACTGATAATAAGTTTTAATGTATAAAAACAGGATAAATTCGCTGGAGATTCAGGTAAAAAAACAATCAAAATTAAAGCCATCATTGAACAATCGCACCTTATTCAAACTGTCAATTAATCAATTTATCAATTGCGAAATAAATAACTGCGAAAAATGCAACTCAATATTTCTGATATTTTTTTATTTGCGATTTTCATCGCTGTAATCGTCATCTACGAACTATATAATCGGAGCATCTTAACAATGGAGATGGTTTATTCCGTTATCCCCGAAAATACAATATTCTATGTAATTATCGCTGTAGTATTTATTTATCTACGAAAATATGTATCTCCAACTCTAGTCCCAATTCCAACTCCGACCCCCACTCCAATTCCGGTTATAATAAATACCGATATAGATGAATTAAAGCAAGATATGTTAGCTATCAAAAATGAAATTGTTAGAATGCAAAGTGATACAGAATGGAGGAGTGAAGTTCGAAGTAGAGGTTTGTGAAACAGTTGCAAATTCACTTGTTCATGGTTTAATGAGCTAACATAATTTTGGTGAAAGCTGTCTCAAGGTGGTTATATTTTACTAATCCACATTATTCCATATCTAGGGCAAGCATCTATAACAAGTCTCAGGTCCGAATATTCTACTGAAATCGAAACTCTCTGGGTTAAATTTACTGCCCTATTTGACGAGAGACGAAAAAGAGAAAAAAGTTCTCCCATAAAAATATATAATACTTTATCTATAGAAATTAATCTCAGCTCAGCTACACTTGCCAACTTTTACCGCCATCAGAAAACTTCATTAAAAACTTCGTTGAACAAAATTGAGGCTTGGATCGAGAAAGAAAACCGAAAAAAAGATAACTCAATTATCATTAGTGATAGTAGCGGTGGTAACAATAAAGGTTCGGAGAGTCATTTCCCACGAAATGGTACCAAAGGTACCACCTTACCGACACATAATTTTTCGAGTAGTAGCAATATAATTTTTGATGATAACTTAGTTAATAATACGGAGTAGGGAAAGGAACTCTCATTTTATGGGTTAGGGCTCGAGATGTTCCTCCCTCTTTGTCCTTACTCCACGATTCTATATAAGCCAGCCTTCCGTATTGTAATGTAGCATTAAAAATAATGCTGAAATATGTGTCAGAGACACTAGCTCTGCTATACAATTATTATCAATAAAGTTATCAATTATTTGTTATTACCTTGTAATGGGTCTTTGACCCTATTTTTAATTCGTGATTTTGCAAGTGTTAATGATTAAGTGTGAATCCGATCATGGTTGTAATTTATGTAACCTATGTGATCGCGGGAAATGATTTAACTGATTTTTGTTATGTATATATCAGTTAGCTTTACTAATTATTTATTGCAATAGCAAATTTCCATATTTCACGAATTCATGCATATGATACATTATATTTTTTAGCTAGAATTGGTAATGCATTTGCTGTACCCTTAGCAGTGATTATATCACTAATTACTTTGGGTGATAAGTGTGTAGTACCTGATCTTAATTTTTTAGACATTTATATACACGGAAAAAATTTATTTCGTGATTCATAAATGAATGTTAATTCGTATGTATGTGATGTAGAGCCCCAAGGGAGCAACCGCATATGATTGTGGAAAATAATTTATGCTTGTTATACGATATAAATTGGCCACTGATAATCTATGCCTTCGTTGATATCTCGATTCCAATTTCATTTGGAGAGAACATTTGTATAAATTGAGTATAGATTTCTTCCTATTCTTTCATCAGATCATCGAGCCATGCAGTACTTAAACCGCTTTTTTGTATATCACAACGTAATAACTCTTCACCGACCAGCCTATCCCGATCTGTTAAAAATTTATGATATTTTCTGGTATCTTCATTCCTTTTTATTCCTCCACGATAGAATCGTATATCTCTCTCCAAATCACCACGGAAGCATCCCATGCTCCACCTTTTTTTCTCAGCCTCTGTAATAACTGAAAATTTCTCAGGATCTATTTTATGTTTGATAGCATATTGATAAAGGCAAGTTTTGTTTGGATGAATTGGTGAGTTACTGATTTTGTTTGGCACTACTATCTGAGTTTCCAGCAAACTTTGTACAGCAATTATAACTTTCTTTTGATCAATACGAAAAGGACAGTTAAGAAAATAGTGATTGTCTTTACCTAGACAGCTCCAGTCACCCCATATTCCTAAACGAGTATGTACTTCTTTGCATATCGGACATTTAGCTTCTGAGTTAGTATATTTAAAAACATCTCGGTACCATGCATTCGAATTAGTATAAGACAGGAAAGGAAAGCGTTTATGTACTGCTTCAATAATCATATCTTTCTCTTCTGGAAACTTGGAAATTTTGATAACACAGTCCTATGAAAGATGATTATCAGTCTTTTCGATTTGAG